TTATAACGAAGGACCTAACTTTTCCCTCTAAATTAATTTGCCACAAGGATGAAAAGCTACAGACAAAAAGATGAATCATTCTTGCCTTTTCTGTTTTGTGTGATTTTTTTCAATCCTGGTCTGTGAGTTTCGTAATTCTAATTTATTCTGCAGCAAATAAACGTTCAGCATTTTTAATGCTATTTTATATGTGCTGATTCTATGGATTGTTTTATTTGTTTCTTGACAGTTATTTAAATTTATAGAAATGCAATTTTTGAGAACCTTGTTCACATTAAATTCATCCTATTAACCCCCCGTTGCTATCCAGTTTTTGTTGTTCCCTGCGTTTTTGATCCCAATACATCTAATTTCCTTAATATTACTTAATATTAATTTATCACATTCATTCAGGATGCTCAAGTTGCTATATTCAGTGACCTAAATGCCTTCGAAGAAATCGTCGGCACCATCTGCATTCAAACCACCGATCCGGGCCGCCTTCCCTCAGATGTTGAAGCAACGATAGACAAAGCAGTTCAAGAGACATTGGATCGAGCCGAGGGCACCATCGGACCGACCTCCAGCCAGATGGCTTTGCCACCAACGGTTTGGCCGTCACCGACGATGCCGATAACAGGTGCGACTGCGGTCTGGAAATTGGGGTATAGCCAGAAAAGTTGTGGGGAAAAACAAATTGCTGGTGTGGGAGTAAATGGCGAAGAGGAAGATTTTAAAGACAATGGAGATGAGGAGGATGGAGAGGAAGAAGATGAGGGAGACGACGAAGAGGAAGAAGAGAGGCAAGACATTGGAATATGTCATCCTGATGGGTCTCGATCGGGCGGGCCTCCACGACACGAAGACTCGAGCTCTATAGTCGTCGCATGCAAAAGTGCCCTCGGCCGAGCAAGTTCAGTTGGTAGATCAGTCCGCAAGATCAGTCTTCCTTCACCTGGTCAATCAACTGGGCTTTCTGGTCATCGGGACGTGGTTGCTAGGCCATCTGTAGGTCACAGCCAGTTTCGGCAGCGTCGCACCTCGACAGGCCTTGGAATGGCTCTTTCAGGTGGTACTTTGACCAAGAAAGCTGCAGCAAGAACAGAAATGTCAAATATGACTCGTAAGTACACTTTCTCTTGTTTAATTTCCTCTCTAAAATGAATCCTTTTTTATCATACCTTTAGCATAAATTTTTAAATCTTAAAATCTGGTGACTTCGACTAGTTCATTTGATCTGCTGCCACCTAACCTTATCGTGTTTTTGGACTATGTTTATGTGCAATTGACTGTTTTTTTACAAGTTCCATGCTGGGTTTCGATTCCTATGGACAAGTCGGCCACACTATCAAATGCTACCTTTATGTATTACTCTTGCGAATGCTTGTGTGGGAATGGTTACCTGTTATATGTCTGGGAAAGGGATTTTATTATTTACTTACACAGCTGTCCTAACTTTCTTGTCTCATAGAGTTGTACTGAAGATTGGGAAAAACTACGAAATAATGGTGAAAATTGCTTTGTACTATCCAAGCCTATTCTATTTCTACTACTTCAAGTGCTTTATACAGATTTTTTGAATGTGTAAGCTCATGCTTCTAAAATGAAGATATCGTTTAATATATAGAATGTCAAATGCAGTTCCTTATTAGAATATCTAGGCACGATGATAATTCTTCCATTTTTTTCGAAGCGGTAAGTCTTTTATCTATGATTGTATTCATTTTAAAGTCTCACTTTATCTTCGTTTTCCACTTCCATTAGCTAGGACTTGCTCGTAAATATAGTTATATTTTTTACTCAGCCTTATTATCTGTACCTTGTATAAGCCGATTTCCTCCTCCATTCATTTGAGAGATGAGAGGTTTATTGGGCCTAAATAGTTCCTTATTCCCTGTTATGCTTATGTTACTAGATTCAATTTTTTTTACTTTAGGTTTGTTTGCAATTATTTATATGCAATCTTTTGTTTGATTTTTTAATATTTGATCTTTTTAACAATTTCTTGTATTACATTAAGTCTATCGTTTTTAATTTAAATTCCATTAAGATCGAAGGGCT